TGTCTTTCATTATGCTTTTTGTTTTCAATAGTCTCATTTCTTGTTTTTCTACTCCTTTAGTTTTGCATTCAGTGCTTATTTTCTAACATAACATTTCAATTTATTTGATGATTTCTTTTTCTATAATTTATATTTTTCTCTCTCTTTTTCTGTTATTTTCTTAGTGGTTGCTAGGGCTCAATATTTAATATTTCCATATTAAGTTAATAGAATAAGTTTCAGATTTATACTGAATTCCAGGGAGATGTAGAACTATTACTCCTGTATGCATTTATTCCATTTTCCCTCTTTTTTGTGGTATAGTCTACAAATGTTATGAACCCAACAATACACATTACAGTTATTAATATAGTTTTAGGACGTACAAAGAACCTTAGAGACAAATTAGTATGAGTGCTATAGTGAGTATAGTTGATAGGTTATTTGTTTGTGAGGCTCAGGGCAGGGGCAATAGTGCAATTTCTAGACAAAAGGAGAGCAAGTATTTATTTATAGTTTTTGTTATATTAATCTCATCATTTATCATTTCTGGTACCTTTTATTGGTTCCTCTGGATTCAGGTTACCATTGGAGTTACTGCCTTAGCTCAGTACAACTTTGCTCCTACCCACCTACTTTGTGGTATTATTGGCAAATTATTGGCAAACATTTCTATATATTATAGACTTAACAATTCAATATATACATGTTGATTTTACCTTTTAAATCATTTAATAGAAAAAGAAATAATTCTTTAATTATTTTTAAAGGTTTTTTTTTGGTTTTTGTTTTTGTTTTTTTTGAGAGAGAGTACGAGCAGGGGAGGAGCAGAGAAAGAGGGAGAGAAAGAATCCCAAGCAGGCTTTGTGCTGTCAGTGCAGAGCCAGACATGGGGCTTGATCTCACAAACCGTGAGATCATGACCTGAGCTGAAATCAAGAGTCGGACACTTAACAAAGCAGATCTAACAACACATTGTGTCAGTTTTTCTTTTTCTGGGAATGTCTTTATTGAATGATAACTTTCCTGGATAAATAGATTCTTGGCTAACAAGTGTTTTTCTATGAATATGCCAACGCACTGCCTTCTGTTCTTCATTGTGCTGAAAAGTTTCTGCTGTTAATCTTGTTCTGGTCCTTTGTGAGAGATGAGTCCTTTTTCTCTTGCTGCTTTCAAGAGTCTTCTCCTTGTATTTGGTTTTCTGCATTTTTACTGTGATGTGTCTGTTTTTTCATCTCGTTATATTCATTCTACTTGGTATCCATTGAGTTTTCTGGATATGTAGGTTAATGTTTTTCAATTAATTTGAGAGTTTTCAGCCATTATTTCATCAAATATTTTTTCAGCCCTTTCTCTCCTGGGACTCACATATGGGTATGTTGTACTTATTGTTATCCTACATTTCTCTGAGGTTCTGTTCATTTGTCTCCTTTTCCCCCCGCTGTTCTTTGGATTGCATAATCTCTGTCAGCCTGTTTTCAGATGTGCTGCTGTTTTCTTCTACTTCAGATCTGTTGAGCCCTTCTAGTGATTTTTTTCATTTCAGGCATTGTATATAATGAATTTATGGATTTCCTTTTTGTTTGTTTTTATCATATCTGTCTTTATTGATACTCTATTTGATATGACATTGTTATTGTACCTTCCTTTACTTCTTTAACTACCGTTCCTTTACTTGTTTGAACGTAGTTGGCTACCATTGAACATTCTTTAATTATGGTTCCTTTACTTGAGCATACTGGCTACCATTAAGTCTTTGTTTAATATAACATCTGATGACTCTGATAGGTACTTTATTCTGTTTCTTGCTTTTTTGCTGGTACAGAGGTCTTGGATCATACTTTACTTTTCATGTCTTAACGTTTTTTCTTTGAAATTGGACATTTTAAATAATGTAGTACTCTTGGTACTGGTCCCTCTTTCCCTCCCCTCTCACAGGCATATTGTTATTTGCTTGTTTATTAAGTTAGTGATTAGCTGGATTGAGGAGCAGAGAAAGAATCCCAAGCAGTCTTTTCCCCCCCCCCCCCCACCCCACTCAAAACTGGCTTTACCTAGCATGTCCTAAAGTGTTTAGGTAAGGACCTGGCAGGTAAAGCATGGAGGCAGTAGCCTCAAGTATTTACAGCTTGCCTCTCCCAGCATGACAGCAGTGCCTTAACGGTCAGGTAAGCAAGAGCAGTTGAGGCCCAGCATTCTCAGCAGTCCCACACATGTAAGATAGAGTCTCTGGCCAACCACTGGTGGCTGGGCAGAAGAAGGGAACCCCTACTTCTCAGATTCACTTGCCCAGAACTTAGCCTCAGCAATGGGTAGGTGGGAGCAAGTTAAGAAATGCTGCCATCCTCCCCCTCTTCGGAAAATTGCCCTCCAACTGAGAGAGCTGTGGGGAGAAGGGAGCCTTGCTATGTTTTTTGCCTTCAGTAGTCTGCAGTTTCTGTCTTGTTGAGTTAGGAAGAATGAAGTGGGAGTGATCTTGGCTTAGATATCAGACTTACGTTGTTTCTAACGAATTTTAGTGTATTTTCTTGAATAGATGTTTCTTCATATGCTGTATGTCTTTAGAACCATTTCCAAAACCAACTTTACATGGTTGGTTTTTTATAACTTTCTTAAGTTTGCTTGGGAGGTGGGTTTGTAAAAACTCCTCGTGCTGTCATGCTGGTAATTGATCTCAGGTTTTATATTTTTAAGGGAGAAAAATTATCCCTAACATAATTACATTTATACACACAGTAAACAAGTTTTTAAATGATTTCTCTTTTGGTCCTTAATCCATGTTTAAAAGTGGTGCGGGTTGATGAGAATTATTTTAGGCAAATATGGAATGGGGAATAGAGAAGAACACATTTCACTTTTTTTCTGTTTAAATTGATGGTAAAACTGATTTTTCCACTAAGTTGCTTACATTTGTTTACTAAAAACATGGACTACTTTCTTATTGATTATGTAACCTATCAGAATACTAAGTCAAAGAGTTTTATAAGTTAATAAGGTTTGGTAGAGAGAGAGGAAGAATATACATTGAAAAAGAAAATAGTTTAAGCATTTTAAAGAGATTCAGATGTTCTTGTCAACATTTATTTTATATTATTTGTTTACATTCTACAAACTTGAGATAATCAAAATTACATTTTAATCTGAAAATTTCCATTTATAGTAGGAAATTAGCCATATTTTTAAAAGAATTAAAAGTTAGGAAAAATATAGTTCAATTATATGATTAAGAAGTTGAAAGTAAGGAGATAGTCATACAAACTTAAAGAATTTATACTAAGACAATCATTGAAAAGCCAAATAGAACATCTGAGTAACTATTTTCTCTTTTATGTGAAGGACGATGTTACCCATCTTTACCACAGTACAGAGCTTAGAAGTAGTTCATTGAAAAGAGCAGTTGTGTAATCTTAAGAAATATTTTTAACAGCAAATTTCCATTTGATGCCACACTAAAGTTTTTGAGGTGTGCTTCTGTCATAACACTTAAGGAATATCTCTGGAATGTCGAGAGTGATTTTGATAGCTTTACAAAAATTACATATGATATACTTGACTTCTGACAGTCATTTCTGTGATATAGCTTACAGAGGGAGAATATTAAATTGAAAAAAATCTGTGGAGTTGGAGCTAAACCTAGTAAGACAGTTTTAAATTCTCTACGTTACAGATTGTTGATAAATCTTAGATTATTTTTGTTTAAATACTTATTTGTCATCTAACATTTTGGAGTTAGTTCATTAATGAGACTGTAGAATGTGTCTCACACAGTGGGTTTTTTCCCGTCTGGAAAACTAAAGATAATAGTCCTTGATTCTCCTTACAGTCATTTGTCGCCTGGAAGAATTAACAGTTGGGTCATAACTATTTGGCTCATTGTTTATAAAATTATTTTATATTGACTAAGCTCTATATAATACATAATCTTTGCAGTTACAGACCTAATTGAAAATACTATTCGGCGTTTGTGTCTATACCGAAGTGGGGAATGTTTTGAAACTTCTTTAAAAATAACCATATTTTGAAAAAAAGTATGTTGAGGGGGAAAAAAAAAACCCAGTTGAAGAAAAAAAACTGGGTTTTCTTGAGGAATGGAGCTTATGCTTTCAGAAATTTGAACTCACTAATTTAAGATAACTGTGATTGTATTTTTGGTTTGTATTTGGAAGTATATTTTACCATTGTTAAGCAGTTGTTAGTTGATTACAGAAATAGATCGTAGGTATGGGTTTATTAAAAGTTTTCCAGTTTTGAACAGTAACTGTGCTTGGAGGGATACTAAGCAGTCATTTCTTTGACATGTTCACTCCTCAGTCAAAATAACTTTCCTTTTATTGATTTTATGCAAAAGAGATCACTCACATGTTGAATTAAAAAGCAGAGAGGAATTCTTTACTGAAGAAAAAGGTCTTACTGCTCTTTGAAAGACATTGCTGTCAAACAAATTATCATAAATTGCACATGCAATTAATCCTTGTATCTCAACAATCATGTTTTTATTAGAGAATATAAAAGACAAAAGTCTTTTAATAAAGTCTGAATACAATGGTATAAAAACACATTGTAGAGGTGCTATGAGGATAATTTTCATGTTGTTTAATTAAGATAATTTGAAGATAACAGATTTGTTTTCTGACACTGTTAATTTCTTACAGTTTATTTTTCTAATTCTGATATAATAAATAAAATGATTAATCATTAGAAACTTGAAATGGCATTTTATGTCATAGTTAAGAATTCATACTGTTTAAATTCATAAGTATCAAGTCTACAGCCATACCATCTTGAACATAAAATCTAATCTGAATTCTGAAGTTTCAACTAGTTTCTATGTTTTCTCATCCAGTGGAGCATGTTGAAGGATGAAGGACAGCCTTCATATCATGACATAAATATTTACTACGCAGTATGTGCCATTATCATAATGCAAAATGCTGAGAACATAGTCCATGTACATATAAAACTTAAAATTTTTCCATCAGTTTTTAAGACCTAATAAGTTCCTTTTATCTTGTTTTTTCTAGCCTAATTCTGGTGAACTGGATCCTTTATATGTAGTAGAAGTACTTCTGCGCTGTAGCAAAGAAAGTTTGAAAAATTCAGCTACTGAGGCTGCAAAACCAGCTAAGCCTGATGAGAAAGGAGAGATGCAGGTTTGGACTTTATTTATCATCTTCAGATTTCAAGTACTTATTGAATTATTTATAATCATATATTTCCTACATATGATTATAGTGAACATACTTGATGTCAAAATTGTAAGTTTTCAGAGTTTTTAAAGGTATATTAAAGCCATCTAAAATATCAAAAGGATGATTAATGACATTTAAGCTCTCTGTTTCTGTATCAAATTGTGGTCAGGTAAACAAAGATGAAGTGAAAGATAAAGAGAATTTAATAATTTAAATTTTCACATGAAGCTGGATTTTACTGGGACTACTAAAGATGTTTTATCTTTTTTATGATCAAATACTTTTACAGTGTTACTTCATGTTTATTATATTCCTTTGAAATATGAAAGCAGTGTTTTAATAATTGAAAATTCCTTCGTAAGTTTCCCTAGTTGGAACCATCTAATTTACATGTGCTTTTAACAAAATTTCAATTGTAGTATAGTTGACATACAATATTATATTAGTGATTCGACATTTATGTATTTACATATATTAAGAAATGCTCACCACGAGGGCATCTGGGTGGCTCAGTTGGTTAAGTGCCTTGACTCTTGATTTCAGCTCGGGTCCTGATCTCAGGGTTCCTGAGATTGAGCCCTGTGTCTGGCTGCTTGGGATTCTCTTTCTCCTCTCTCTCTGTGCCTCCCCCACTTGCACTCACACACATGTGCACACTGTCTCAAAGTAAATAAATAAACATTAAAAAAATGCTCACCGTGATAAGTTTGGCTACCATCTGCCAGCATATAAAGTTATTATGATATTATTGGCTCTATTTCCCGTGCTGTGCTTTTCATCCCTGTGACTTACTCATTTTCTAACTGGAAGTTTGTATCTCTTAATCCCCTTCACATGTTTCATCCATCACCTCACCTGCCTTCCCTCTCGCAACCACCAGTCTGTTTGTTCTCTGTATTTATAAGTTTGTTTTTGGCTTTTTGTTTATTACTTTTGTTTTTTAGATGTCACATATAAGTGAAATCATGTGGTATTTATCTTTGATTTATTTCACTTAACATAATACCCTCTAGGTCCATCCATGTTGTTGCGTGTGACAAGATTTCTTTCTTTTTTATGCCTGTGTGTGTAAAACACACCTTTATCCATTCATCTGTTAATGGACAGTTAGATTGCTTCCATATCTTGCCTGTTGTATTTGTATATAATGCTGCAATAAACATAGGGGTACATATATCTTTTCAAATTAGTGTTTTCATTTTTTTAGGGGTGATAACCAGAAGTGGGATTAATGGATCATATGATATTTCTGTTGCTAATTTTTTGACGAGCTGCCTGTTTTCCATAGTGGCTGTACCTATTTACATTCTCACCAACAGTTCACAAGGGGTCCCTTTTCTCCGCATCCTCACCAGCAGTTAATTTCTTACCTTTGTGATACTAGTCGTTCTAACAGGTGTATGGTGGTATCTCATTGTGGCTTGGATTCTCATTTCCCTGATGATTAGTGATACTGAGAATCTTTTCATGTGTGTGTCAGCTGTCTGAATGTCTTCTTTGGAAGAATATCTATTCAGATCCTCTGTCTAATTTTAATCAGATCTTGTGTGTGTGTTTGGTTGTATGAGTTCTTTAATTTTTTTTTTTTTTATATTAACCTCTTAGTGGATATATCATTTGCAAATATTATCTTTTTCCTTCAAGTAGGTTGCCTTTTCATGTTATGGATGGTTTCCTTTGCTGTGCAAACGTTTTTTAGTTTGATGTAGACTCTGTTGTGTATTTTTGCTTGTGTTGCCCTTGCCTGAGGAGACCAGTCCAAAAAGACATATTGCTAAGGCAATATTTTCTTTGTTTTCTCTTAGGAGTATTATGGTTTTGGGTCTTATTTACATTTAGTTCTTTAATCCATTTTGAGTTTATTTTTTTCATATGGTATAGGAAAGTGGTCCAGTTTAATTCTTTTGCATGTGGTTGTCTAGTTTTGTCAGTACCATTTATTGCAGAGACTGTCTTTTCCACATTGTACCTTCTTACCTCATTTTTCTTAGGTTAATTGACCATATAATGGGTTGGTTGGTTTCTTTCTTCCTTCCTTCCTTTCTTTCCTTCCTTCCTTCCTTCCTTCCTTCCTTCCTTCCTTCCTTCCTTCCTTATGGGTTTATTTCTGGGCTCTCTTTTCTGTTCCATTGATCTGTTTTGGTGCCAGTACGATACTGTTTTGATTACTGTAACTTTGTAGTATAGTTTGAAATCTGGAATTGTGTTGAGTCTCAGCTTTGTTATCTTTCTCAGGATTACTTCGGTTGTTGGGCTTGTTGGGTTTTTGTGATTCTACACAAATTTTAGAATTGTGTGTTTTAGTTCTTTGAAAAATACTGTTGGTGTTCTGATAAGAATTGCATTCAGTCTGTAGATTTTTTGAGTGGTATGGCCATTTTAACAGTAGTAATTCTTCTAGTCCCTGAGTATGGGCTATCTTTTCCTTTTTTTGTGTCATCTTCAATTTCTTTCATTATTATCTTACAGTTTTCAAAGTACAGGACTTTCACCTCCTTGGGTAACTTTATTCCTAGGTATTTTATTCTTTTTGATGCAGTTGTAAATGGGATTATTTTCTTAATGTCTCTTTCTTACAGCTTGTTATTAATGTAGAGAAACATAACAGATAATTGTATATTGATCCTGCAATTCCACTAAATTTGTTTATTCTAACAATTTTTGGTGTTGTCTTTATGGTTTTCTGTATGTAATACCATGTCATTTGCAAACAGTGACAATGTTACTTATTTCTTACCAATTTGGATGCCTTTTATTTCTTTTTCATGTCTGATTGCAGTGACTAGGATTTCCAGTACCATGTTGAATAAAAATGGCAACAGTAGTCATCCTTGCCTTCTTCTTAATCTTAGAGGATAAGTTTTCAGCTTTTTACCATTGAGAATGGTATTAGCTGTGGGTTTGTTATGTGTCCCATATTTTGTTGGGGTATGTTCCATCTGTACCTGTTTTGTGGAGAGTTTTTATCATGAACAGATGTTGAATTTTATTACAAGCTTTTCCTTTATGTGTGGAAATCATATGATTTTTATCTTTCCTTTTGTAAATGTGGTGTATCCTGTTGATTGATTTGTGGATATTGAACTATCTTGCATCCCTGGAATAAATCCCACCTGAGCATGGTGAATGGTACTTTAAATGTATTGTTAAAGTCAGTCTTTGTATTTGTGTTTTTTTTCCAGTTTTTCTTTCTAATGGAATTTTAGTTTCATACCATTGTGGTTGGAAAAGATGCTTGATATAATTTCAGGCTTAAATTCATTGAGACTTGTTTTGTGGCCTCACATGTAATCTGTCCTGGAAAGTGTTCCATGTGCACTTGAAAATTATGTGTATTCTTCTGTCTTGTGGATGGAAAGTTTTGTATATATCTGTTTGTTTTATGCTGTCTAATGTGTTCTTCAGAGCGACTGTTTTCCTTACTGATTTTCTATCTGGGTGATCAGTCCATTGATGTAAATGTTCATGTCCCCTACTCTTACTTTATTACTGTCAATTTCTCCAAATGTGTTTCTGAATATTTGCTTTATAAGTTTAAGTGCTTCTCTGTTGGATGCATAGAAATTTACAATTGTCACATCCTCTTGTTGGATTGATCTCATTATTATATAATGTCTCTCTTTATCTCCTGTTACACTTCTTGTTTTAAAATCTGTTTTGTCTTAGTGTTGCTACCCAGCTTTTTTCCCCCACTTACATTTGCATGGAATGTCTTTTACCATCTCTTCACTTTTTAGTCTGTTTGTGTCTTTATGTCTGAAGGGAGTCTCTTGTAGGCAACACGTAGATGAATCTTGTTTTTTTATCCTTTCAGTCAGTGTTTGTATCTTTCGTTTGAAGTGTTTATTCCATTTTCATTTTATTTCATTTTATTTTAGTCAGTGAGAGTAAGTTTATTTTATTTATTCATTTCTTTTGTTTTAATTAGTGAGGCCCAGCTATAATTGTTGAGACCATGCTGGCGGGCAAGATACCAATTCTAGCTGCTGCTCACTAGTTATATTGGCAGTAGTCACTTTGGGTGGACACAGGTTCTAGGTGAGGCTGCCTGGTGGGTATGGTATGGCATGAGCCACTTGGGGGGGAACTCCTGTCAGGGCAGGTGGGTTGGATGATCCACAGGGGTACCAGAGCAGGTTAAGCAGTGCTAGAATGTAAATGGAGAGTGTCAGAACTGGCTTCTGCAAGCATCAGGCCAGCTAGGCTACAGGAGGGGAAGAAAAATGGCACCTGGTAAGACTTTATTTCTTGAGAAAATTCCTACACTTCCAGCCCTTTTGGCACACACCCTAAAATTACTTAGTAGATCTCCTTCACTTAATAACTTGTATGTTTTTCAAACTGCTGCCTTTCTGTTGGGTCTCAAACTGAATGAATACACTGGCACTTTAGGAGTAGATTCTAAGTTTCCTCTAGCCCTCCGACTCTCCCAGAGTGAAGTTTCCTTGATTTTCAAAGCCAGATGTTATAAGGGGGCTTTTCTTCCTGATGCACATCCCAGGGCAGGGGTTTGATCCTTTCACTCCTCAGGTGGAACTGTGTGCTTGTGATATCGCTCCTGTTTGTGGGTCACCATGCTGACAGAGTTGGTTCCCAACTGTGTCCCTGCCCCCTTCTACTCTTCTCAGTATGGCCTTTTTTCTTTATCCTCATTGTGGAAGAGCTGTTATACGTCTTTGGTCCCTTTTCAGAATGAGCTGCACTGTAGTTAAGGTCTTGGTGTGTCCATAGGAGGAGGTGAGCTCAGGATCCTCTTGTTCTGCCATCTTCCCAAGCTCCTCAGTTTACCTGTGGTTTCAATTAATTGCAAAACATTCAGTTTGCCATATGAGATACCTGTATTTCTTGAATATCTCACCCCCCCTTTTAATAATTAGGACAAAATTACTGCAGGTAAAACCTCAATATTGAGATTCCAAGTATGTATTTGAAGGCAGATATACTGGAATTTTGTTATTTTA